AGTCGCAGACTCCAGATTGTCTCCAGTGGATCCTGGATTCCTCAGGCCCAGACCTAATCCCTGAGCCTGCCTGGAACCTCCAAAGCCAGCCTGGCTCCCGAGGGCCCTTTGGTTTGGGGGGTGGTCCAGGTCATGCAGGTAGAGCTCATCCTACTATGGGCCAGCCTCCCTCTCCAGGGTCTCTAGCCTCACTCCCAGGCTGTTCACTCCCCTTCCCAGCGGTTCTCAGATCCTGCTCCTCCTGGTACCCTCCTGATGCCCTTGTCCCTCTTTCTGCTCTTTCATTTTCTGCCCACTGAATCCCTTGCTGCACCCCCCGAACACAGTCTGGCCCTACTCTCTGCACCTCTCCAGGGACCAGAAGAACTTAGTTCTAAGGGAGCTATGCCTTCGCCTCCCTCCTCAGGGAGGCACCCAGTCTTTCTGAGAGGCATTGGGCCCTTCCTGGGAGCTGGTGGCTTTTCTCCCAGATGCCTCCTGGAAATCTTGCGGACATTTGAACGAGCTCATCAGGTGACCTACAGCCAAGGCCCCAAGATTGCCACCTTGATGAAGCACGTCAGCACCAGGTGTGTGGATATGTGTTTAGAGGTGGGGATGTGGCCCAGATGGGGAATACTGAGAGCAGGGAGACTCTATGAGACATGTTAACATGGTGCGGGTGATGGGATTGCATGTTGAAGGGTCGTGGTGTGTTGACTCCTGTGCTCTTCTGTGTGCATCTCTGGCCTCTTTTCACTGTAATCTCTCATGTCCTAACCTCTGATCCATTCTCAGTCTGGACAAGAAAGGCCATGTGTACTTGGTTGGCTGGCAGACCCTGGGCATCATTGCCATCATGGATGGAGTAGAGTGCATCCACACGTTCGGCGCTGGTGGGATCCCAGTCCAGATGTTCTTCCTGCTTCCTGCTGATCCGATCGGGCGGCTCTCCAAACACTGTCCTACTCCCAACCCATGGGTGTTTGTCAGTGTCCCTCCTGCCCTATCTAAATAGGCACACTCAGTCAAATTCTTCTTCCTTCAAACCCCAACTCAGTCCTTGATCCCTTCTTAGCTCCCACCCCTATGCTTAGCTGTGGCTTCCCACATGGGTTACTCCTCCCTCCACACACCGCTTACCACTTTTCCTCCCAGTCCCACTGACTCCCCCTGAAGCCTAGAAACTTCCTTTCCTATAAAGCCAATCTTTCCTCTCTCCCTGTTCTTAAACTTCCCAGATTTCCGAGATGTCCATGGCTTTCTCATTGGTGATCACAGTGACATGTTTAACCAGAAGGCTGAGATCACCAACCAGGTTGGAGAAGAACAGGACTTGGGGAAGTTGGGCAGATCACTGGTGTGCTGATGGTGGAAGCAAAAGGGAAGGTGGAGCTAGGTGGGGAGTTCATTGGAATAGATAATCCAGAGAAATAGCCAGGTGTGGTAGTTCACTTTGGGAAGCCAGGGTGAGCGGATCACAAGGTCAGGAGTTTGAGACCAGCCTGGCCAACATGGTGAAACCCCGTCTCTAATAAAAATACAAAAAGAGCCAGGAGTAGTGGTGGGCACCTGTAGTCTCAACTACTGAGGAGGCTGAGGCAGGAGAATTGCTTGAACCGGAAGGTGGAGGTTGCAGTGAGCCGAGATTGTGCCACTGTGCTCCAGCCTGGGTGACAGAGTGAGACTCTGTCACAAAAAAAAAAAAAAAAAAAAAAAAAAAGATAGTCCAGAGAAGAGAATATGGGTCAGAAGTCATGAGGCTTTCGGGGGTAGCATGGGGAGTGTGGAAAGCTCTAGATCCAATCCCCAAACCTGGCCCTAGTCCACTGACTTGCTACATCATCTTGGGCAAAACACTGTACCTTTTTGAACCTCTGCTTTTTCACCTGTAGACAAAAGTGTTAGAGCTCGAGTCTGTGCTTTAGAGTGTTTTCATGGGAGGGACCCTCCCATCTTCTTCTGCCCCAGGGTCCCCAGTTCTCCTTCTCCCAGGAGGACTTCCTGACTTCCATCCTGCCCTCCCTCATGGAAATTGACACTGTGGTCTTCATTTTCACCCTGGATGGTAAGAGGAAAGATGGGAGTGGTGAGGGAAGCGGAGGGGGGAAGCAGAATGACTCAGAGGCACTGTTATTTTTTTGGGTCTTAGGGTACCTGCTCAGAGGGAGGGATGGGGTGAATATCCTGACTGGACCCTAGCCCGGGGAGCAGGAGGAACAGCTGCAGTCAGCCTTTTGACTCCAATGCCCTCCTTTTCCTGATATCCTGATGTCCTTTGACTCTGATATCCTCCTTCCTAGACAACCTCACGGAGGTGCAGACTATAGTGGAGCAGGTGAAAGACAAGACCAGCAACATCCAGGCCCTGGCACATAGCACCGTGGGGCAGTCCTTGCCGGTGAGAGTCCAGCCGTGACGAGGGGACCCAGGCGGCAGTTACAGCCAGGTCTTCCTGGAGATGCCACTCCTGCTCCTCTTTCTCTCTCTCCAGATCCCTCTGAAGAAGCTCTTTCCCTCCATCATCAGCATCACATGGCCACTGCTTTTCTTTGACTATGAAGGGAACTTCATCCAGGTATGGGGAATGGGAAGGTCATACCTGCATTGACAGGCTGGGAGGGAGAGGGATTCCAGGAGTCAGAAAATCCAAGGCTGGAGGATAGAAAGCTCGGAGACCTCTCTGATCTTCACAAAGCCAGCTGGGAAAGGTCATGGGTTACCAGGTAACTAGTCAGAGTTCCCAAGGCAATGAACTACTAGGCTCAGCTGTTTCTAGAAATATGCAAAAACTGCAGGATAGGCCACCAGTCACCTGACAGGTGTTCATTTATCCTTCAGGACAGGTTAATTCTTTTTTTTTTTCTTTGACACAGAGTCTTGTTCTGTCGCCAGGTTGGAGTGCAGCGGTGCAATCTTGGCTCACTGCAAACTCTGCCTCCTGGGTTCAAGTGATTCTCGTGCCTCAAGCAGCTGGGACTACAGGCACGTGCCACCACGCCCGGCTAATTTTTGTACTCTTAGTAGGGACAGGTTTTTCCCATGTTGGCCAGGCTGGTCTTGAACGCCTGATCTCAAGTGATCTGCCTGCCTCAGCCTCCCAAAGTGCTGGGATTACAGGAGTGAGCCACTACACCCAGCCTGGTTTTATCTTTCTAAATGAATTGGAATTGTTTGAAAAAAGAGGCTTTATTTGGCCTGGTCAATCTTTAGCTATAGAAATATTTTCGTGGTGGTTCATGCCTTTATTCCCAGCACTTTGGGAGGCTGAGGCAGACGAATCACCTGAGGTCAGGAGTTTGAAGCCAGCCTGGCCAACATGGTGAAACCCCATCTCTATTAAAAATACGAAAAAATTACCTAGGCATGGTGGCAGGTGCCTGTAATCTCAGCTCACAGGAGGCTGAGGCAGCAGAATTGTTTGAACTGGAGAGGTAGAGGTTGCAGTGAGCCGAAAATGCACCGTTGTACTCCCGCCTGGGCAACAAGAGTGAAACTCTGTCTCAAAACAAAGAAACAAAATAAATAAATATTTTTGATGTGAAGTATTTCTACACTTTATTTATATTTTTCTTTCTTGCCCTCCAAAGTGACAGTGGATATATTTTTATTTTGATAAAATTCAATCCTACAGAAAAATACAAGAATGGTGCAAGGAACACCCATATTCTTTTCCCTAGATTTATCAATCATTAACATTTTGCCATATTTGCTTCATTTCTTTCTTTTCTCCTGAATTATTTGAAGTATAATTGGAGCTGGGTGCGGTGGCTCACGTCTGAAATCCCAGCACTTTGGGAGGCCGAGGCAGGCGGGTCACAAGGTCAGGAGTTTGAGACCAGCCTGACCAACATGGTGAAACCCTGTCTCTACTAAAAATACAAAAATTAGCTGGGCATGGTGGCGCACACCTGTAATCCCAGCTACTCAGGAGGCTGAGGCAGGAGAATTGCTTGAACCTGGGGGGCAGAGGTTGCAGTGAGCCGAGATCATGCCACTGCACTCCAGTCTGGATGGCAGAGTGAAACTCCATCTCAAAGAAAAAAAAAGTGCCAGGCATGGTGGCTCACATCTGTAATCTCAGCACTTTGGGAGGCCAAGGCGGGTGGATCACAAGGTCAAGGGTTTGAGATCAGCCTGGCCAACATGGTGAAACCCCGTCTTTACTAAAAATGTAAAAATTAGCCAGGCATGGTGGTGCATGCTTATAGTCCCAGATGGTGAGACCCTGTTCCAAAAAAAAAAAAAAAAAAGAAAGATAATTGGAGATACTGCAATATGTCATACTAATCACTTGGCATATTTCCTTTAAAAACAAGGGCATTCACTGCATAATTACAATATAATTTTCCATTCAGGAAAATGACAATTAATATAATACTATTATCTATTTTCCAGACTATATTCAGTTTCCCCAAGTACTCCTGTATTGTTTTTATTTCCCAGATCCACGATCCAATCAAGGATAATGCACTGTATTCAGTTATCAGGTCTTTTGGTTTTCCTTTATTGCAGATGAGTTTCTCAGTTGTTGTTTTTTAACTCTTTCATGACATTGATATCTTAGAAGTCCAGGCCAATTGTTTTCCAGAATTTGCCTCACTTTAGATTTGCCTGATTATTTCTTCATTATATTCAGGTTAAATTTTTTGGCAGGAGTACTGCATAGGGGAAGTGTGCCCTTATCAGTGTATCACATCAAGGAGGCACCTGATGTCTGTTTGTCCCGTTATTGGTGATGCTACATTCGATCATTTGGCTAAGATGGTGTCTGTTAGATTTCTCTTTATTCTATTCCTCAGCAATCTTTCACCCAATGTTTTTAGCATCCACTGACAATTCTTGGTTGAACCAATTATTACTATGATAGTTTTTAAATGGTGATTTTGTTTCTGTTCTTTCCATCTATATTCAGTAGTTGGCATTCTTCTGTGAAGAAAATCTTTCTTGGCCAGGTGTGGTGGCTCACAGCTGTAATCCCAGCACTTTGGAAGGCCAAGGCAGGTGGATTACTTGAGGCCAGGAGTTTGAGGCCAGCCTGTCTGACATGGCAAAAACCCATCTCTACTAAAACTACAAAAATTAGTGGGGTGTGGTGGCGTGCACCTGTAGTCCCAGATACTTGGGAGGCTGAGTCAGGAGAATCGCTTGAACTGGGAGACAGAGGTTGCAGTGAGCTGAGATCATGCTCCTGCACTCCAGCCTGGGTGACAGAGCAAGACTCTGTCTCAAAAAAATAATATTAATAAAATAAAATAAAATGTTTTTTTCTCTCTCCACCCTATCTACCCTATCTGTCTTTATTTTTTATTGTCAATATGGACTCATGAATTTTTTGTTGTTAAATGTGTTTTAATCCATTCTTCTTCTTATTCATTATTTATTTTAATGCTCAAAATGAGAGCTCATTCATGCTGGATCCTGTGTCCTTGTGATATATCCACATCAGTATTTGAACACTCATTGTTGTGTATCTTTTGCAAAATAATAATAATAATACCCTTCTTATGCAAAAGGTAGCATCTTTCTTACATCTTGCATTTTTTTGCCTAAGATATTCTGAAAATCACTACAGTGCAGTTATTAGATCTCTTCCGCATTAGTCCTTATTTGTGCGTGTGTGTGTGTAACAATAGTTTGCCCTGTGCGTGTGTGTGTGTAACAATAGTTTGCCCTGTGCGTGTGTGTGTGTGTGTAACAATAGTTTGCCCTGTGCGTGTGTGTGTGTAATAGTTTGCCCTGTGCGTGTGTGTGTGT